GCCTCAGCAAGAGTAAGACCCCATCTCTACTATAAAATACAAAGAAATTAATTGGCCAACTAATATATAGAGAAAAAATTAGCCGGGCATGGTGGTGCATGCCTGTAGTCCCAGCCACTCGGGAGGCTGAGGCAGCAGGATTGCTTCAGCCCAGGAGTTTGAGGTTGCTGTGAGCTAGGCTGACGCCACGGCACTCACTGTAGCCTGGGCAACAAAGCGAGACTCTGTCTCAAAAAAAAAGAAAAAAGAAAGCTGCCCTGTGCCCATGTAACACTGCCACCCACCTATATCGCTGCCTCCCAATTTCTTCTTGGCTCCCTGAAGCTTGGCAGTTGCTGTGACAGCCACTGTGATCTCGCCCTCTGTTTGCACAGAGCACCAATATGGCCTTTGGGAAGGTGACAGAGGAGACTGTCTACACCTGCACGGGGCACCCACTCAAGTCAGACATCGCCAACATTCTGGACTGGATGTTGAATCAAGACTTCACCACAGCCTACAGAAGTATCCTTTCTGAGATCTCCTGGCACGTTGAGTGTCCAAGGCCTCAACATGGGCCCAGGAGCTCAGGCTGCAGCCAGCACCCATACTTTGCTGACACAGGGATGACTGACTGCATGTGACTGTGGTCAGCCTGTCATTAACACCCCAGAGTTCCTCCTGGGAATGCATGTAGCTCTATTCTCTAATAGGAGATACAGCTTCATCTTTCAGGAAGCCTTACTGAAGATGAAGCATAAAAAATAAAGAACTGGGATCCAACACGTGCAGCTTCAAACTGCAAGAGAAACAGCTGTGTTGGGATTAAAAGCCCTACTTTAAAAAGTCACTTGCCAGGGTTTGGATTCAAAATTCTCTGCAGTCTGTTTGTTCTGGAACTTGTTCCCTTTGCCTTAACTGCTCCTCTCTAGATATTATGGAGTTGAAAACTCTGAAGGGGTTGGCACTGCACGATATCCTGACAGAGATACACTTGTTTGTGCACAGAGGTGATTACATCACACCCTAGCTGAGCAGCTGTGCAGGGGATGCCTGTCTTGGGGTTAAGGATGGTTAGAGAGGGAACATGAGGCTTCATTCCTGAAGCAAAGAAACAGTAATGAAGTGTAAATCAGAGCCCTTACATTTAGTACTTTTGTTTTGCTGCTGTTCAAAGCTTTATCTCTGGAACTGCTGGGAAGTGGAAAGAAACTCTTGAAGGCTAACTTCCTTTCCTCCAGGGGCCTGTTTGTATTTTATAGCAATAAGTATGTTTTAATTCATATTTCTAAAAAAAATGTTTTCCTCAAAAGGAAAGAGGGATAAGATAAATCTTCATATAAACTTTCATATAAACCAGCACAGTCTTAAGGAAACCATCTTAAGTTCCACAATTAACTTCTACACAGAGAAGTTGGTTCTCAACCTTGGTAGCAGATAGTAATCACCCCAGACCCAGTAAGTCTCCCCCATTCTCAGGGGAGAACCAGGCATCCGTATTGTGTCAAGCTCCCCAACTGACTCGACACACAGGCCTTGGGAGAAGCTCTCCCCTCTGCCGCAGCCAGCGGCAGACCAAGAGGCTTAACTGGGTCCATGAACGTTGGTTCTGCCTGTGCCTTTACAGGCCTCTTCCTGAGTGGCTCATGTATTAACCTCTGCCCGAGAAATGGTCACCTCAAGGCCAGCTATATAAAGAATCACAAAATAGAGTGGGTAGAAAGTACGAAGCCTACACCATTTTTACTTGCTTAGAGGTGTGGTATCTAGTGATCAGCCTAAGGCCAAGGGAGAATATCAGTGTTTTGTATTTGATGTTGAAACTCATACTTGTCCTGAGTGGTTTTTTTGTTTCTTGGTAGTAAGGGGTGACAGACCTCACTCATTTGATTTTATTTTTCCCTCAGTTGACTTTCCATCTTCAGTTCGAATACATTTATTGACCAAAATGGCAGACATTGAGTGAGTATATATTTTCCTAATTTTAATTCTTTTCCTTTTTTTTTCCCCATTGTGAAATCACTGTTTCTGCTTGCTTGGTTTCAGCTTTTTTGTCTAAATCATTTACACACAGTATAATCTAGTCTTTGGTGATACTGACTGGAAGGTGGGGAAGGGTATCGAGTTGCTTACTTAAAGCACACAGGGATAAACATGAAGGACAGGTACAGATCAGTTACACATCTGAGGTGAAGGCCTCTCCCTAGACCTTGAGGGCTTGGCCCACATTGATTGTGAAAATGCCCTTGTTAATTGGGAGGCCTGCTTCACTTCAGACTTTAGACTCCTGTGGGGATGACCCAGCTGTTACTAAGGCATTTTGGCATAATAAAGTATACTGGGGGGTGGGGGGGGCCAGTAAACACAAACCCAATTTTCCACTTAGCCTGGTTCGATAAACACTGTTATTAGCCCCCATTGAAGCTGGCAGCTATCATTTAAGTAGACACACAGAGCATTGGGTTCAAAGTAGACGTCAGCGTGGGCCAGCTCTAATTTGTTAGCACTGGCTTTGATGTGCACAGATTGGGTCAATTCTTACCACTGTTGTGAATATGACGGTTTGGCTTCTGGTGGCTGAGCACTTAAAAGGTGGCAAGATGGGCCAGGCGCAGTGGCTCATGTCTGTAATCCTAGCACTCTGGGAGGCCAAGGCCGGTGGATTGCTCGAGGTCAGGAGTTCGAAACCAGCCTGACCAAAAGCAAGACCCCGTCTCTACTATAAATAAAAAGAAATTAATTGGCCAACTAATATATATAGAAAAAATTAGCCAGGCATGGTGGTGCATGCCTGTAGTCCCAGCCACTTGGGAGGCTGAGGCAGTAGGATTGCTTGAGCCCAGGAGTTTGAGGTTGATGTGAGCTAGGCTGACGGCACTCACTCTAGCCTGGGCAACAAAGCAAGACTCTGTCTCAAAAAAAAAAAAAGGTGGCAAGATGAACTGCCAGTGTCCTGCTTTACTTAGACCACAGGCCCAGAGATATGGGTCAGCGAAACCGCCCAGTGAAATGTCTTAGTTTAAAGGAAGGAAATTTCCATTTTAATTCCCTCTTAATGTATTTTGTGGATGAAATAATCCTTAATTACATAAATTCTGTCTATCTTTCTATACAGTTAGGACAAAGTTAAGTTTAGAACACTAGTATTAGTAACTAACAATTCTTAAAATTTAAATTGTCCTCACCAGTTTGAAACATCAAATTTGTAAGTCAACATTTAGGGCAAAGAAGAAAATGAAAATGTCAGGACACATGCAAGATTGCTATCCAGGGTAAATTTGTTTGATCAGTTCCCATCCCTCTCCTTCAATAGATTTTCAGCCCTTGATCTCCCTTATTCTCTTATGAAAAGGCAGCCGGCCATGACAGTGTTTTTTTTCTTACCTTATGCTTGATTTCTTTTAGGTACAGACTTTCTGTTGGCACCAATGAGAAGATCCAGCTGAGTTCCCTCATTGCTGCTTTTCAAGTCACCAGAGACCTGATTGTCACAGATGCCTAGATGCTCTGAGGCCACAATTCCCAGACCTGATAGTGCAGAGGACAGTTACAGGTTGGATTGTTGCCCAGAGCATGGGACAGAACCATGGTCACCCTAAGTCTTAAAAAAATCTCTTTTCCATTTGGTAGGTATTGTGGGTGGACAGATGTTAAAAAGTACCATTTTGTGGCTGTTTGGACCAAGGATACATAAAGCAATTTTAATATATAATTATTATATCTTAGTGTACTGCCATCTTTTTATTTTTTTGAAGATGGGGTCTTACTCTGTCACCCCAGCTAGAGTGCAGTAGCATCATTGTAGCTCACTGCAACCTCAAACTCTTGGGCTCAAGTGATCCTTCTGCCTCAGCCTCTTGAGTAGCTGGGACTGCAGGTGTGTGCTACCATGCCTGGCTAATATTTTTACTTTTCGTGGAAACAAGGTTTTGCTGTGTTGCTCAGGCTGGTCCCAAACTCCTGGCCTCAAATGACCCTCCATGCCTCAGCCTCCCAAAGTGCTGATTACAGGTGTGAGCCACCACACCCGGTCCACCTGTCTTTTATGGGGAAAAAAAGAATCTTTTTTCTGCCATAAGGCTTTTACCCCTTCAGTTGCTTAGATGACAGAGAACTGGCCTACTGCATTTGGTCTGGAACATAAGGCTTTCAGATCTCATATGGTCCAAGTGTCTTCCAACTCAAGGTAAACGTCTCTAAAATTAAGTTTATGAATCTAATCTTTGGCGCTGTCTGTGTCTATTTTAAATAGGCATTAATCAATTTCTGGCCAAAACTGTTACACTCTTATAAAATGGACTGAATTCTACTTTAAAAACTGGCCTTTTTATTTCTCCTCTTGAAGTAGAACCGTTACCAGCAGGTTCCAAGTAGGAAAAAACTTTAATTTTAAATATAATAGAGAGCTAGCTTTAAATTATGCCATCAGGGGCCAAAGGTTGTATAACACGTGCTCGATTAATGCAGGGAAGGCCTGTGAGATTAAGCCTGACTCTCAATCTAGAACTGCTGAAAGGCCTGGCACTGCTGTACACATGTAACATTTATTTACAGCAATTATGCTGCACTTGCGTCGGTGTTCTTCACAGTGAAAGGAAAGCGGCTTGCTTGCCGGTGGTCATGTGACTCGTCTTCCCCTAGCCAGTTTTAAAGATGCTGATTTGGCCAACATCATTTATATTAAAACCTTCTGTCTCTGATATCACAGAAGAACTTTCTTTAGAGACTATTCTTTATAAAGGTGTTCAATTCTTAAGCTGTCAAAAGGGAGCAGTTATTTCATTTATTTCTGGAGGACCTGTTACCCAAAGACACCAGCAAAGTTTAAATCTAGTAGCCAAGCAGGGCTTAAATTCATCCAGAGCCTCTCATACTCCATCCTCTGCGTGTGATATTTCAAGATAATCATGAAATTTAAAAGTTTTATTTAAATTTAAATCCAGTCCCAGCTCTTCTGTTGTACGACTTGTTTTAAAAGGGGATTTTTTTTTCTTAATGGAAAAAATGAGACAGAGCGCCAAAAGGTTTTAACTGGTTTTTTTTTCCTTCAATGAAAGCCTCTCATTTTGAAAAGATGTTTTTCTTCAAGCAACAGAGGTGGTAGAGGAAATTCCTCAACTTTCTCAAGTCATATAACAGTTCACTGGCCTCCATAAAGCACCAATTAAGAAAGCTAAAGAATAAGATGTTGCATTTCTTTTAAAATAATTTAAAATATATTAAATTTTCCTAAGGCAGATTTTGCTTGAATGAGGTGTCTTGATTAGGTCACTACATGCCACTGAAGGAGAACAGTACTTTTAAGGAGTTATTTCTGTTTGGGGGTAGAGTTGAAACCAGCTGATTAATCTAATGAGGTTAAGCAGCAAAGACAGATCTCGTACACAAGAGTATCAGCTAAATCATGACAACACCAATTCTTTACACAGTTAAGACACATCTTTGCAACTGTTCAATTTAAGTACTATGGTTTTTAGATATCATCAAGAAAAACACAATTGTACCTTAACATCTGTTGAGAAAATACAAATAAATATGATGCTAATAAATGGCAACTGACCACTCAGTAGCTATTTGAACAGTCATGCAGTTTAGAAATACACCCTTGTATAATCTGACATACAAATTGGTCATCTGCACATGCACACCATTAAAAAAAAAAAAGCCAATAATAGTGTCTGGATCAGTCAGGAGCATAGCCTGATTCCCCTGTAATTTAGTTAAGCTAATACCTCATACCACATGGCTCCATGAAAACTTTGTCCTGCTGGTCAGAAGGGAGCCAGAGGAAGGAAAGGAAAGCGACCCTGACCATAGCAGGAGAGAGAACTTGAAACAATGCTACCACTGCATTGGCAACGCAAGGATGATAGTATGAGGCAGAAGTCATACTTCCCAGTTGAGGGGATGTGACCCTCTCTGCCACCTAAGAGGCTCTGGAAGCCTACTTACTTTTATAAAAACATCAATAACTGCACTTTGAATCAAAACGACTAGGAAGAGTTCAACACTTGCTATTCATAACAGGACACAGATTAAAGGTGCCAAAAGGTTTGGCTCTGTTGCCACAGAAGTGGAATCGCTTCTAAGACTGACTTTCACATGCCATGGAGAGAAAGATCCATGACTAGTCCGCTGGAATCTGGTTTTGCTACATTCTATTCACAATCCCAAAGAAATGCTATTTTAGCCCATGACCAGATGTTTGGTCCATTATTTCAGCTACTCCTTTGCCAAGATTTATCCTGCTACAGAGAAAACAAGTAAGGTAAGTAGCGTTGCTTAAAAAGTCCTGTATGTAAGGAACTCTTTCATCTTCTTGGGGATTGGCAGTGCTAGGACTTGGTAAGTTGTTAGGAAACTTCGAAGGGCTTTCCGGCATAAGTGCTTCAGTGAGGATAGGACCCTAGGAGCTGTCCAGAATTGGACATGGCCATCTCTCGTCCTGAAACAAAACAGAAACCAATGCTACATTTAGACAGACCTTGGAAGTTCATGTTTTCATTGTGATGGATATTATTTCTACTTTGCCTCCAAATAGCAGGAGACTCCAGAGAGTGAAATGTAACCTTGACCATGGTAATGGATTTAAAAGCTATGGTTCTAAATAATTAAGGCTGCTGATAGGATAAGAACTCAAGACATCTTTGATACCAGAGTGCTGTTAGCACAGCCCTTTCTAAGTCAGACTGCTATTACAGTTCAAAAGTAATAGAAGTAAGAGTGCCACCTACTGAATTATACATGTTTCCTATAAGGTGGTCTCTTTGCCCTAAATGGTTTCCCATATAAATTTTGCATCACCTTAACTTAGGATTCCTCATGGACTTGGCCCATGAGGTGGCATGAATTGTAGGTCTTTAATCGTATTTAGGTTAAATATTAAGAGTAAATGATAATACTGACAGAATATTTGAGTTTTACATAATCTTGGATTTCCTTAAAGGTTTCCTCACGGGCAAGAACATTCTAGATGCTTTCTTTCCTTAAAAAACTACATGGCAGAAACCACTACCCATCTGTTCAGCTAATAGATACATACCCTGTGGCAATAACTCCACCATGTGGAAAAAATGTGCAGCAAAGACCATTGGTCATAGGAGCAAATGCAATTGGAGTTTTCACTTCCAGGGCCCAGATCCTGAGGAGTCTAGATGAGAGAGAGAGGGACACAGTTGTACATTGGCCAACCCGAGCCACACAGCGAGGGTCATGCTGCCACTGCTTGCAAGCGCTTGCTCTGAGGCTGCGTAGAGATTTCTCTGTTACCTGTCATCTGCCACGGTAGCAAGGTACAAGCCTTCTGGAGAGAAGCACACGGATCTTAGTGAGCTAATGTGGACATCGCTGTCTTCCATGCCAGGGTCGACCGGGCTGTGGCTGAGAAGGAAAGACACAGAAGAGTGGGCCTGGAGTCCCCTACCACCCTGCACCCTTGCCCCAGGCCAAACTGCCACGGCTAGGAGAAGCTCAAAACACATCTTGTGCCTCTTATGAAAAACCTTGGGATTTGCAGACTGGGAAAGGGGGCATATCAGAAGGCTCTAAGTGTCCTGTGGAGGGGCCACAGGGCTCCTAACACTTCCCCATGCTAATTTCTTTATGCAAAGTAGGTCAGCCCTCACTGGAATGCCACAGTACACACTGCAAGTCTTTTTTAGGCTAAGATACATGATAATTATAGGACTACCCATTACTTGCTTCATAAAACAACAGACAAAGGGGAAAAGTAGTTCAAGTTTGTAAGAACATGAAAACTCATTTTGGAAATAACAGTTTCTATACAGGGATCATTCTGAACTTGCTACTACAGTTATTAGTAAATGGAAATAACAAGTCATTTAGAGGTTTCATAACGCCGAATCCAGAGCACAGACAGCCTCCTAAACTAGAAGACTGAAGATGCTCAGGTCTTATTTAGAGGGCTTAACTGACAATGAAATACTAATAAACATTTAACCCACTGTGCCTTGTTATCCAGGTTGCCCCCATGTCCCAGACGCTAAGAGGGACATGTCCATTCCCAGGGATGTTTCTCATCAGTCTACCCACAAGGAAGCCATAGCTGGGATTCAGTCTTTACCGGAGTGACCTCAGCTTTTCGCCAGTGTAGGGGTCCCACATAATCACATTGGTGTCATAAGAAGCTGTGACAAGCAAGGCTGAGTCCGGGGAAAAGTCACAAGAGACAACGCTGGTTTGGTGGCCTTCTAGCTTCCGGATTAACGTGTAGGACCGCATGCTCCATAGAAAGACCTGTGGGAAGTAACAGGTGCCTGGTGAGGGGCAGAAACAAAGTCTTAGAACTCCAACGGGGGAGGGTTTGAAAGGCCCCTCTGCAGGCCGTTCCCCTTTCTACTGTTCTGCCAGAACCTATCAGACAGGTTTAAATAGAGTAACGGAATTTTTGAGGCATTTAACCAACGCACATGGTCAAGGAGCTCACTTTAAGGGAGAATAAGCTGGGCCACCTGAGGAAGGCCGCCAGCCGGACTTGTATCTGTAGAAGCTTCTGAGCCCTGTTTGCAAAGAGGGTGGTACGTGCTGATGCAGAACTAGGCCAAGTGCCATCTTGTTCCACTGAAAACCAAAAACGGGTCAGAAGTGAACTCTGGGGCCACTCCACAGAGCAGAGGCAGCCTGCCAAGCCACTTCACGCCCCCCACCTTGCTCACAGAACCGTGGAAATCTGTCTTAGGCTGCACATCAGACCTAGCTCATCACTTTAAACCTTTCTGAGCACTAAAAGGAGGATTTTATTCACTTTCCTTTAAGAAAACTCACCTTCCATAGTTCCAAGCTTCAAATGAATGATTAATCACCTGGGCTGTACCAAATAGTGAACTCTTAACTTTCCCTTCAGTCACAGCAAAGGGCTCAAGGCAAACACAAAATTCAAACAGAAACTGTTCCCAAACTGTTCTTGGGTTTCCAATACTTTTCTTTTTTGTTTTTAAATAACAGGATTTCAAGACAAAGGTCTGCAAATAACTGCATATGTCATAATTTGAATTGAAAATCCTAATTAGATGGTTCAAAGGAAATTTGGATCTGCATGTTGGTTTTTGTTTTTTTTTATCCTTCCGGCTGCAAATTGCTTTTATGGGAAACTACAGGGCGATCTGGCACATTCCTAAGTGGTCTTGAAGTCTAAGAGGTTGGAGGAGGCAGATGGTGCAGGTTGGATTTGGGGGGAGGGGAGTCCTAGACAGGGAGTCCCAGGTGGAAATGTGAGAAATCACCAATGAGTAGGAGGGATGTCCATGGGGGTGCCCGGACCGGTCTTGCGCCATAGCCCAGCTCTGCACGGCCCATCAAAAACAGGTTGATGCCTGTGCAGAAGGTAGCTCCAGAGTCCAGGAACGCTGCCGCAGCCCCCACCTCAGCGGGCTGGGCCAAGGTGCCCTCTAGGACTGTGGCCCTGGGGTCAGGTGTTGAGGCTGCCAACTCCTCCCATAGTGGGGTCCAGATGTTTCCTGGGGAGATGCAGTTGACTTGGACACTGTATTGACTCTCATCCAGGGCCAAGGCATTGGTCATGGCTGTTACTGCCCCCTTGGTGGCCACATAGGGAATTGACTGGGACTGGCCAATCGTCGCTACCAGGCTGGAGATGTTGATGCTGTTCCCCTGGGTCTTCCGCAGGTGGGGAAGGGTGTACTTGGTCACGCTGTAAACCCCCAGCAGGTTCAGCTCCAGCAGCTGGCAAAAACCGTTGGTGGTGGTCTCCATGAGCCGCTGTTCACTGGGTGGTGACCGGTGTTGTTGACCACATAGTCCAGGCGGCTGAACTGGCGGATGGTCTCGGAGATCCGAATCCTCACATCTTCTTCCCAGGTCACGTCACAGTGGATAAAGACAACTCCAGGAAGCTCCTCCTCCAGGGCCCGACTGTCAGGATCTTCTTGTCGCAGATTATCACTTGGGCCCCGGTGTCCATGAAGGGCCTCACGATCCCGGCTCCAATGCCCCGTCCGCCCCCAGTCACGATCACCACCTTCCCGGCATAGCTCCTTCCTGTGGCCATTTCGAGTCTCTCTCAGTCACTCACTCGGGGCTCTTTCCACCTCCAAAGTCTCTGCATGTGGGTTTTAACTTTTAAAATCTTAGACTCTAAGGCGAAAAGAAATGTTTAAAGCCACCCGTTTCCCATTTTGTAAAGGGAAACAGCCCTTTGATGACAGGTGAGACTTACTTCCAAATACCTCCTCTGGGTTCATATCACAGTGCAAATCACAAAGGCACTGCCAGCGAGCCTTCTGATGGGGCCAATTTGCAGGTGGATTTTGAGGGTACTCTGTTTCTTTCCCCTCACACAAGGCTGCTGCGTCAGACCTGTGTCTCACTGAACTAAAGAACAATGTTGGAGACTCACCGACTTCTCTCCAGCTGCTGAGCACAACATGCTACAGTCTGGCGAAATGGAACAGCAGTAAACCCACTGCAGGTGGCCCGATAACACCTGAATCTGTTTACCTAGCAGGAAAAAGCAGCAAACGGTGAGCCAAGCCTCAAAATAACAGAGCAGGAAATCTGAAGAATTGGGAGAACTGGTAGCAATGACCTCACATCCAATATATCCATCAGTTCTCTATCAGCTGGGCCCTAAGGCCCAAATTTTAATGCAGAGAAAGAAATATGGCCAGACTTGCCATTTGAACACCCCTAACCTGTAAATATGATAGTCTAAAATCCCAGGGAAATCACTACCTATGGTTTCACCAAAATCTACCAGATCACCAGGGCAAAGGGTGTACATAAATAAGGGACTCTGATAGCAAAGCATATTCTTTTTAGGTCCCTCAACCACCTCCAGTACTCTGAAGCATCTTTCCCAATTTTAAGAGTGTTTATCTTCAGTTCTCCCTCATTTAAAGTCTGTAATGGTTTTCCCATTGTCACATGGATCCGACTCCAGACTGTCCCCCTCCTCCCACCTTGCCAGGGTGTCCAGATGGGCAGTGGTGTGGAGTAATTTGAGGTACATGCTCTGGAGTCAGACAGCTTGGGTTTGAATCCTGGCTCCACTGCTTACTCAGCACATAACCTGGGGTGACTCATGCAATCTCTCTCCAGTTCTCAGTTTTTTTAAAAAAACCAAATGCCCATCCATAGGGGCTGGGTGGATAAACAGTGACATATCTACTCTGTTAATGCAGATGGAATGAGAGATATAGATCTTTCATGGGGTACTGTTTAATGAAAAAAAAGCAAGATGCAGAAAAATGTAAACAATATATGATTCCATTTTTGTAAAAGAATGACCCCCAACCCATGGATGTAAGCATGTGTGCACAGGATTGTGCAATATAGAGAACAATAGGGAAGGCTATATACTGCGCTCTTAACGTGGGTTACCAGGTTGCAGGGGAAGAGGAGATGATGCAATGGGGAGAGGGCAAGAGAGGGAGAATGGACAGGAAGTACCCAATGGAGATTTCTACATCAGCAGTTCTGAACCTGGGGAGACTTTGCCCTCCATGGGACATGGGGCAACGTCTAGAGACATTTTTGGTTGTCATGACTGGAGAGGATGCTACTGGCATCTAAAGAGAAGAGGCCAGGGATGCTGCTCAGTGTCTCACGGTGCACAGGGAAGTCCCCAACAAAGGACCATCAGCCCAAAATATAAGTAATGCCAAGGATGAGAAAATCTGTTCTAGATTATGTATTTTCAATCAGGGCAATGTCACCTCAAGGGTGTGAAAACTGGTTCTTGGTGGCCAAAAAAATCTTACATTGTTTTATGAACAAAGTATAGATGTGCACTCAGTACATAAATGGATATATAATATATCTTTCTTATTAAATATCATCAATAAGGCCAGGTGAGGTGGCTCACGCCTGTAATCCTAGCACTCTGGGAGGGCAAGGCAAGAGGACTGCGTGAGCTCGGGAGTTCAAGACCAGCCTGAGCAAGAGCGAGACCCCCATCTCCAATAAAAATAGAAAAAATTAGCCAGGCATGGTGCATGCCTATAGTCCCAGCCACTCGGGAGGCTGAAGCAGGAGGATTGCGTGAGCCCAGGAGGTTGAGGTTGTAGTGAGCTATGATCATGCCATTGCACTCTATCCGGGGTGACAGAGAGAGACTCTGTCTCCAAAAAAAAATCATAAGTAAACATACAGTTTATCATTGGAATCTCTTTCACTTTATCTTTCAGTTTATCACTGAAATCTCTTTCACTTAGTACAATGTGTCTTTGGGACAGGAGGAGGTACAATTAGGAAAAAATGCCTACAATGCCTCCTTAGGAGGCACTAACAGAAAGTCAAAGAACACCATTTTAGATAAACATGACATTGGTAAAGTGGAGACAGGAGCAAAAAACAGTATTTTTGGAATTGCCAAGTCATTCCATCACCTCCATACCATGTTTATTCAGGTCCCAAATTCGAAGAGTCTTATCCCGTGACGCAGAGACCAAAATCAAACTGCCACTGGGTGTGAAGCTCAGATCTCTCACGACATCCTGGTGGCCGGTAAGATTCAAAAGCAGGAGCCCTAGTGTGAGAACAGGAGTACTCAGTCAGCAGGAGAGGTGCCCGCCACAGCCACGCCCCTCAGCCAACTGGGGTGGGGGTGGCCCCAACATTCACTAGAGCCTCCCAGGACCTCGTGCCAGCCAGGAATGACTTACCTGTCTGCACCTCCCAAATCTTGATCTGCCCATCGTTGAGTCCCGTAGCAAGGATCAGGCAGGAGATATCTGGCACTTGGGGATGGTGGCGTGCCCAGAGCTTCCTGCTAGGTAGCGATGGCCATGGGCTGAAGGCCAACCCCCAGACAATCTGCCCACAGTCCAGCGTCTTCTCCTTTGGGCTGCCTCGTCCTTTGGTCTCATTTTTGCTACTTCGACTTTTGGCTTCGAACCCTTTAGGGATGCTGGGGGAAGCAGAAGTTTCTTAATGAGTCTGCAATTGTTACCAAGTCAACCAACTTTTCATCCTGGGACATCTAAGATTTTAAAGTCCTAAAAACAAATTGGCCTTGGATGAACTCTGATGTGACTTTTCTTTTTGTTTCTTTTTAAGTGTTCTGGCCAGGCGCAGTGGCTCACGCCTGTAATCCTAGCACTCTGGGAGGCCAAGGTGAGAGGACTGCTTGAGCTCAGGAGTTTGAGACCAGCCTGGACAACACAGGGACAAGCCCCTGTCTCTAGAAAAAATAATTAGCTGGGGCATGGTGGCGTGTGCCTGTAGTCCTACCTAGTTGGGAGACTGAGGCAGGAGGATCACTTGAGCCTAGGAGTTGGAAGCTGCAGTGCATGATGGCTCTCAAAAAAAAAAAGTGCATGTAACAGAGGCTTGACAGGTCTTGGCCCATCTCATTTGTGACAGACCTGCAAATGGGTGACCTGCAGTGTGGGTTAACTAGGACACAGATGCTCTAGGGAGCCATATACTTGCACAGAAAGTTCTCTTGGGTTTCTATCCATGGAAGGAAAGATAACTCAGTTTTTCTCATGAGGAAGCGAGCATACAGTAGGTTTGGAACTAGGATAGAACTTGGAACCTGAATACCCATCCATCACTCTCCTGCCTGAGTTCCCTCCTTCTAACTTAGAAATCCCCAAGGAGCTGGAAAACAAACCCCTTTCTTGCCAATACAGTTTGTTTGGTACGTGCTGATTTCTACCTTCCCACATTACATTCCAATAAATTAATGAGGCTCTTTCCTTTACTTCCCTGATGGTAACCAGCACAGAAACCAACCAGCAGGGTAGCAACAGAGAAAAAGAACTCACAGAGCTGTTCAGAGGTGCCCTGTCCTGAAAGATCTCTTAGCCCAACCCTCTCCTACATTCCACTTATGGTGAAATAGGCCCACATACGCTAAGGCTCAATCCCTGAGACACAGAGCCCTGCCCACCACTACACCTGGGAGACAATGTCCCCCAGGCACGAGCAATTAGACAACCCTGTGGTTTAGCCTGAGGTACACTTTGCCGACACAAATAAAGGTCCCACTTTCCTATGTGCCCCTGACTACACTCTGGTATGTCAAACTGGGGGAAATGGAGATGAGAGAGCTGGACCCCAGGACGAGTTCAGATTTGGTTCCATAAGAGTTCTCAAAGAGCTAAAAATAGATCTATCATTCAATCCAGCAATCCCACTATTAGATATCTACCCAAGAGAAAACAAAGCATGATATAAAAAAGACATCTGCACTCGTATGTTTTTTTTTGTTTGTTTTTTTGTGTTTTTTTTTGAGACAGAGTCTCGCTTTGTTGTCCAGGCTAGAGTGAGTGCCATGGCGTCAGCCTAGCTCACAGCAACCTCAAACTCCTGGGCTCCAGCGATCCTTCTGCCTCAGCCTCCCGAGTAGCTGGGACTACAGGCATGAGCCACCATGCCCGGCTAATTTTTTATATATATATCAGTTGGCCAATTAATTTCTTTCTATTTATAGTAGAGACGGGGTCTCGCTCTTGCTCAGGCTGGTTTTGAACTCCTGACCTTGAGCAATCCGCCCGCCTCGGCCTCCCAAGAGCTAGGATTACAGGCGTGAGCCACCGCGCCCGGCCTGCACTCGTATGTTTTCACAGTACTATTCATAATAGCAAAGTTCTAGAACTTACGTGTCCACTGACAAATGATTAGGTAAAGAAAACGTGTTATATATATATATATATGTTTGTGTGTGTGTGTGTGTACACCATATTTGAATACTATAGCTGAATAATCACTCAGCCATAAAAAAAGAATGAAATCATATCTTGTACAGCAATGTAGAAGGAAGTGGGGCCATTACCCTAAGTGAAATGACTCAGAAACAGAAAGTCAAATACTGTGTGTTCTCACTTGTATGTGGCAGCTAAACAGTGAGTACACATGTACATACAGAGTGCAATAATAGACACTGGAGACACCAATAGGTGGGAGGTTGAGAGAGGGGTGAGGGATGAAAAATGACCCATCAGGTACACTATTTGGGTGATGGGTATGCTAAAAGCCTCAACTTCACCACTGAGCAATATATTCATGTAACAAATATGCACTTGTACCCCCTAAATCTATTTTCAAAAAAACCTATTTCTCAGTCCATGAGAAATCCTATACTCAATGTATACGTGGCTGGGCCTCTTTATGTATTACATGTATTCCCAAAAAGTAGTAAGTAAATCACATTTTTGTCAACTGTGTGGTGAAATATATGAAAGAATTTTAACCAAGTTCACCTGAAAAATTAGAAGGAAGGAACTGACACAAGTGTAGGCTCCTCCACCTCTAAAACTCTTAGTCTAAATCAGAGGTTGGCAAACAAGGGCCAGGCCAGCAATCTTTGTTTTTTATCTTTCGACAATCTATTTGTCAGTATTTTTAATTAAGGTATAGTTGACAAAATTATATATATTTATGGTGTACAGCATGATGTTCTGATATAGTTATACATCATGAAATGGTTATATCAAGCATATCTATCCCTTCACATACTTATCATTTTGTTGTAAGAACATTTAGGATCTACTCTCGGAGTCCACTTGCTCAAGGCTTCTTGGGCATGGCTCCAGGTAAAAAAAAAAACAAACTACTCTCAGCAATTTTCAAGCATAAAATACATTATCATTAACTATAGTCACCATGCCATCCTGTCTAAATGAAACTTTGTACCTTTAACCAACATTTCGCCATTCCTTCTCCTACTCCAGCTAACCATTCTGCTCTCTGCTTCTATAAGTCTGACTTTTTTAGATTTCACATGTAAGTGAGATCATGCAGTATTTGTCCCTCTGTGCCTGGCTCATTGCATCTAGCATAAAGTGCTCTAGGTTCAACCATGTTGTCATAAATGACAGGATTTTGTTTTTGTAAATAAAGTTTTATTGGAACACTGCCATATTCATTTGTTTATGTACTATCTGAGATTGCTTTTATGCTATAACAGCAGAGTTAAGTAGTTGAGACAAAGACCTTATGGCCTGCAAAGCCTAAAATTTTCACTGTCTGGGTCTGAACAGAACAATTTGCTGACCCCCTGGTCTAAATGGCCACATTTGATGTAGTCTGAAAATTTATTTTTGCAACACAATCTGAACATGATCGTGACTGTCATTTCAATCAGCCGCCTATCCACATACCGCCCAGACCTGACTGGCTCTGGCCCGAGTTTGCCATCATAGGAAGAAGCACATAAAAGGCAGGCTATGGGAAGAGGTTTAGGACAGCTTGCAAACTCCAAAGTTACCTTTCTTTCATTTTTTATAAAATCCTGATTTCTGTATTTGAATTTAGAGTTACACCTGTAGCTACTTCATTCCAAAAGAATTAAGGCACATTTCCATATTATTTCATTTTAATATCATAAATGTAATTTTTCTAGAAAGCGATACTAAAATTTCCATTTTACAGGTTATTAACTTTACTGGGCTCACAAAATCAGGGCAAAACTGGAACTAGAACTCAAGGCCTGGGTATCCTAGCCTAGTGCTCAACCAATACTCTGAATTTCTGAGTTTACTGATAATCAAAAAATGAGTTACGTGAGAGGCAGGGAGGCAGGAGCATGGGAAGCAGCTGAGGATCCAAGAGAGATTCACTGGCAGAATTTAGCATCACTGAAATTAAGGTTTCTAAAAACTTTATTTCTAAAGGTATACAATTATTTGGTTAATATCAATTATTTGCTCAATATCAAAAGCACTACATGATTTTTTTAAATGTATAACCCTAACAATAATATAAATGCCCCTGTGAGAATGTAAATCTCCCTGTTAAAGGACTTTAAAAATAATAATTAGGCCAGGCGCGGTGGCTCACGCCTGTAATCCTAGCACTCTGGGAGGCTGAGGCAGGCAGATTGCTCGAGGTCAGGAGTTGGAAACCAGCCTGGGCAAGAGCAAGACCTCGTCTCTACTATAATTAGAAAAGAAATTAATTGACCAACTAATATATATAGAAAACATTAGCTGGGCATGGTGGCACATGCCTGTAGTCCCAGCTACTTGGGAGGCTGAGGCAGCAGGATTGCTTGAACCCAGGAGCATGAGGTTGCTGTGGGCAAGGCTGACACCATGGCACTCACTCTAGCTAGGGCAACAAAGCAAGACTCTGTCTCAAAAAAAGAATAATAATAAAAAATAAAATAAATAAATAAAAATAATTAGCTTAAATTACAAAAATAAGAGAAACATGGGGGAAATTAGAAATGAGACAAATAATAAAGTAAAAATTACCCATAATCCTAACACCATTCTAAACATTTCACTACAAATTTTTATTTGCATGATGTACATATGATTTTAAAAAACAAATTTGGAATCATATTGCATACATGGTTTTATAGCCTCCTTTTCTCAATAAGCCTTATACTGTAAGCATTTCAACAGGTTATTATTCTTCAAAATGTATGATTTTCCCTCAAACCAGTAACTTCTCGTAAAACATATTAAACAATAACACTTCTCTCATTACATTAAATAACATATGCAAAAAGGGTTAAAATTCAAATATCTTTTTACATTTTACTTAATACTGAAAGGATATATTTACCTATAGTAATGATATATTTGAATGTAAGAGTGATTTTTAAGAAAACAGTTTTTCCATATTATACTTTTAAAAAAAACTTTTTCAGATTATAAATTTATATAGTTTACTTAAATATAAATTTATATATACAAATCTGGTATGAAGGAGAGTTCCTTGTATTTAGAATGGGGAACAATAAACAATAAATGACCTTGGCATTATCATTAAACTGACCACAAAAGGAACTGAAAATTGTGATTAAAAACACATAGCAATCTTAGATGGCTGCAAAAATATCATATGGAAATGCTACAATCTCCTTAAGTATCCTCTCATCATTGGATTTTAAGCTGTTTCTAATTTTTTACTACTATATAATTAATTTCATGATGAAAATCAGTGTATATAAACAGATGACCCCATTTCTGAGATTCCTAACAGCCAGAAGAACATTTTTAAGGTCTTTAATGCATTTTGCCAAATAACCTTCCTTCCAGAAACTGCACAAATATATATCCCTCAACCCCAACAGTGTTCAGAGTACCGACATCAGCAAGTTATTGTCAGCATTATCTCTTATCAAGGCAACAAGTTTCAGACTGAACTTATAAAAAGCTTAAATCTAATATGCTATTTGTGAAAAATGGTTAAAGCAAAACAAATGAGACCCTCAACAACAGAAACCATATTTGATTTATCTAAGGATTTTCAGCCCCTAACTCAGCGTTTGGCAAAGAAAATTTACAACTGTTGGCTGAATAAATGAATGTAGACATAGAGTTGCCACGTGATAAATGAAAAGATACAGAAGTTGGGTCATCTGACTGGGAATGCACAGCATTCCAACACTTGGACCTGCCCATCCCAAAGAAAGAAAAACTAGTATCAGAAACTATACTTGGCCAGGCACGGTGGCTCATGCCTATAAACCTAGCACTCTGGGAGGCCAAGGCGGGAGGATCGCTCAAGGTCAGGAGTTCGAAACCAGCCTGAGCAAGAGCGAAACTCTATCTCTACTAAAATTAGAAAGAAATTAATTGGCCAACTAAAAACATATAGAAAAAAAAATTAGCCTGGCATGGTGGCACATGCCTGTAGTCCCAGCTACTAGGGAGGCTGAGGCAGAAGGATTGCTTGAGCCCAGGAATTTGAGGTTGCTGTGAGCTAGGCTGACACCATGGCACTCTAGCCAGGGCAAAATAATGAGACTCTGTCTCAAAAAAAAAAAAAAAGAAAAAAAAAAGAAACTATACTTGATCAATAATAAAAAGACAAATACCTAATTTAAAAATGGGCAAAAGATCTTAATAGACATTTCTCCAAAGAAGGTACACGAAGGGCCAATAAGGACATGAAAAGATGTTGCACATTAGTAGCCATCAGGAAACTGCAAATCAAAACCACAAAGATGCCACTTCACATCCACTAGGTTGGCTAGGCTACAACTGAGAAGACAGACAATAACAAGTGTTGGCAAGGACATGGAGAATTTGAAATTCAAATATCCTGCTGTGGGAAACAGTGCAGCCACTTTGGAAAACAGCCTGACAATTCCTCAAACGGTTAAACATAGAAAACACATGTCCACCAAAACCATGTACATAGATGTCCACAGCAGCATTATTCGTAAACAAAATTTGGCATCTCCATACAATACAATATTATTTGGCAATAAAAGGAAATGGAATACTGATATACAACATGGCTGAACTGGGAAAACAGTGTGCTAAGTGAAAGAAGCTATCAAAAAAGGCTGCATATTGTATGATTCCATTAGTAGGAAATGTCCAGAACAGGCAAATCTATAGAGATAAAAAGCAGATTAGGGGCTGATCCAAGGTAGTGAGTTATCTCACTTGATTGTTCACAGTCAGTTACAGACTGAACTCCTTGTTCTACTATTTTCCCCCCTTCTCTCTACTATACTTAACTAGTCTTAAAAAAAATCTTAAAAAAAATTTTTTTAATCAAAAAAAATAAAAAGAAAACAAAAGCAGATTGGAGGTTGTCTGGAGAGCTGGAGGGTGGGGGTGGACTAGGGGAATTGACAGATATAAGCTAAGGGATGGGGTTTCTTTTTAAGGTAATAAAAATGTTCTCACATTAGTTACGGTGATAGACACACAACTCTGAATATACTAAAAGCCACTGTACACTTTAAATGTGCCAACTGTTTGGCATGTAAATTACATCTCAATAAAGCTATTAAAAAAACCAACTTGGGACCAACATAATCTTGATAGAACTGACTTTGACATGTATAAAATAGGGGGCTCCAGAAACAGTCATTCTCCCTCTCCTACTCTGTCCTTGGGCAGGGAGATGGCAAAAAAACGGGGAGTAACTTGGGAAAGTGCCAATGCCCCCCATCGTGAAAATTCCCTTTGGGGCCCAGGTGCAAGAGTACTTACAACTGCTCCTCCAGTGGCCAGGGGATCAGCTTGACGATACAGTGTCCTTGAGACCAAGCGAACCAGGAGCCATCAGGAGAGAAGGCGACACTCCAGGTTTCACAGCTCGACTTCCAATCGAATTGATGGGGGCGCCCGGGCTTGAGTTCGGCCAGCAGCAGAGGTTCTTCTGGGGCAGGAGACAGCATGCTTCAGACAAGCACCCTCGCTTCCCACCACCGGGTCACAGGAAGGCCGCTGCCTCCCCAAGGCAAAGGGCAGCATTATACATCCCCAGAGGGAGTTGTCACTTAAATGACCTAGGGCAGCAACGGTAGCCACAGGCCACATTCCACTGGTTTCTCAGTCCTGGCACCTCCATGCTGGTTAACCATGACTCAGAGCAACCTTTGTGCTGGTGACCCCAGGGAATGGAGGCCTCATTTTCCTATGAATGCTTGAAGAGGAAGAAAGTGAAGAGATAAGCAGGCCAAGAATACCCTAGATGGTGCAGATTGTGAGGCCTAAGGCTCTAAAATAGCAAGGCCTTTCAATGCATTTAAGGTCTCAGCTTCAGGAACCAGGTAAAGGAAGGATTATGTGAAATTCAAAGGCTCCCTCTCACTCACCAGCATTCCACCCATCAGCAAAGCCCTGACCTTGCTTCCTCTCCCTCAGAGGTGTTGATTTCCTCTCCTCTCTCTCCTGCTTCCATCTCCTCTGTCCTGGCTTAAACTTTTGTCTCATCTTACCCAGATCTTTAGCTAGAGTCTCCGATGGGTCTTTGCCCCTAGAGATCCTGCCAAAGCTGAAACACACATCATTTCTTTCAAATACATGCCAAGGCTCCCACCAGCTTACATGATAAAAGCAACTGAGCCCAGGCCTGTCACCTGGTGCCTTCTGCTCCAGCCTACCAGTCCAGCTTGATTTCCACCACACCTCCCTGCATGCCACACTCGGCCACACAAGGGTCCTTGCCGTGTCCAGAGGAGCTCATTCACACTCACCCCAGCACTCACTCATTCTCTGTTTATGGAAATCCCACCTAGATTCACAACTAAGAAGGGCACCCTGATCTCACACTGTCAAAATCAGTTCCACCCTGTTTATTTCATTCTCTCCTGTCTTAACCAATTTCCCTGTGCCTTACCCCCTTACCAATATTTAAGCACCGGGATAATTTAATCTTTGTTTCTCCCATGCCTAGCGCTGTATCTTGCAAAGCAGCAGGCTCTGGATTGGTGCTCCTACTTCAACTCTCTTCTCTGACAGAAGATTAACAAAATCCCACAAAGCTGGCAAGTCAAAGGCCTTCAGAATGAATTTTATGACCACTGTGATTGTGCAACATGCTAATATAAAAACTGGCTTCCATCCTGAATGAGGTCACTTCTTGATGTGTACGTTTCCCTTTAGTAGTAGTTCCAGACTTTCACCCTTTTGTGGCAGTTATCAGATAAGAGACTAATTAAACAACCCATAGTTCCTGTTTTAAGACACACCTTTACACAAAGAGATCTCACTGAAATTAGGATGTATCTTACAATTACTTTCATTGTTAAATAGGCGGTATTTTTTTCTGTGATATTAATACATAATAGTAACACAATCAATGGTATCTTGGATTCAATTAAACAGGTGGCATAGGCCAGGCGCAGTGGCTCATGCCTGTAATCCTAGCATTCTGGGAGGCCGAGGCGGGCAGATCGTTTGAGGTCAGGAGTTTGAAACCAGCCTGAGCAAGAGCGAGACCCCGTCTCTACTATAAATAGAAAGAAATTAACTGGCCAACTAATCTATATAGAAAAAATTAGCCAGGCATGGTGGTGCATGCCTGTATTCCCAGCTACTCGGGAGGCTAAGGCAGTAGGATCACTTGAGCCCAGGAGTTTGAGGTTGCTGTGAGCTAGGCTGATGCCACGGCACTCACTCTAGCCTGGGCAACAAAGCGAAACTGTCTCAAAAAAAAAATAAAATAAAAAATAAATAGGTGGTATAGATGCATAAAAACATATATATATATATAAACATTTTCTGCGTTCTGATACATGCATTATAGGAAAATACACAGGTATATCTTGTTTTATAAAATAGAAGTGTTGCTGAAAATTGTCTTTAAATAGAATTTTAATGAATTGTATCAAGGCTTTGTAAAGAGACTATCATTCTTAGAGGTTCTATGTATAAATCTAGGTTTTAATATATTAGGACTAAGTGACCCAGGTAATTCCCCCTAGAAACCTGTACATGTTTCTATATGTGATCTTTTTTTTTTTTTTGAGACAGTCTCGCTTTCTTGCCTAGGCTAGAGTGCGTGCCGTGGCATGAGCCTAGCTCACAAACTCCTGGGCTCAAGCAATCCTCCTGCCTCAGCCTCCCGAGTAGCTGGGACTACAGGCACGAGCCACCATGCCCGGCTGATTTTTATATTATATATATTAGTTGGCCAATTAATTTCTTTCTATTTTTATGGTAGAGACGGAGTCTCACTCAGGCTGGTTTTGAACTCCTGACCTTGAGCAATCCGCCCGCCTCGGCCTCCCAGAGTGCTAGGATTACAGGCGTGAGCCACCGCGCCCGGCTACATGTGATCTTTTCATTTGCACAATCACACACCTGTAGGACCACACTCCTGTGGACATGAACACTTGCATGGTAACGCGTTGGTGGTATAGTGGTGAGCACAGCTGCCTTCCATTTGCATGGTAAGACACACTTTATATTTTACATCCAAAACAGGTCTCTCAAAGTTATACAGCAATCCCTCAACGTTTTCTTCAATCTCATTATTTCTAGATATTTTCCTATGGTGACATAAGCCCTAATCTGTTAATGTCTTCTTCATGCAGCCCAGGGGTTCTTCATTAGGGGTGATTTTGCCTCCTGAGGACATATGGCAACATCTGGACACATTTTTGGTTGTCACAACTGGGGAGTCAGGCTACTGGCATCCAGGGACACATGTTAATGTCCTACAGTGTAAAGAATAGCCCCCACCACAAAGGATTATCTGGCCCCAAATACCAACAATGCCAAGGTTGAGAAACCCAGATGTAGTCAAATATTAACCAATGTTGACTGATCTGGGGGAACATTTTTAATTGACCTGGATGAAAATTTCTCTTTTCTTTACCTCTCAAACGAAATCCATTAGTGAGTCCTATCAAGTCTGTTTCCAAAAGACTTGCCAAATCTAACCTCTCTCCATTTCCAAGGCTACTATTCTAATCAATGGAACATCATCTCTCTTGGCCCTCTAGGCAGCCTTCCCACCACTCTCCTTGCCGCTGCTCTGGCCCCTCACCTCCCAGCGTGATCAGTTTCAATCACTCTTGAATAAAACCCAAGCTCCTCACCCTGCCCTTGCTGAGGTCCAGCATAAACTGCCCCCCTTCCTTCATCTCCCACCTGGGCTTGTACATCTCCTCTCCCTGCCCCAGGATCCAGCACACCGGCCTTCTCACCACTCTCTAATACTCTATTAGTCTCCACCTCAGGGCCTTTGCACTAGCTATTCCCTTCACCTGCAATGCCTCTCCAAGGCTGGCACCTTCCATTCATTCAGGTCTGGCTCACGTGACAACTCCTTAGAGAGCTCTCTCTGACTCCTAGTCAATCTCCTTCACAACTCCTCACTTTATTTTCTTCATAACACTCATCACCATTTGATTAATATCTACCTCACCCCTACTAGGCCATCAATTCCAGGGGAGCAGGGACCCTGTATATTTATTCCCAGTGCTGGCAGAGTTCCTGGTGGAGAGTAGGCAGTCAGTACATATTTGTTGAATAAGTATACATGGCTTACCTCTTTAAAGGAAAGAAAGCCCCTTAAACTGTGATGCTTATGCAAACATTTCACATGAAATGCTTCTTAAACATGAGCTCTACCCAGAATTCACACTCTATTTCTGTAATTTAGGGATTTAATCTCTTGCTATTTCAGGTTCAGGAATCCAGGAGCTAAAAGAAGGAAGAACCCAGTGACTCCTGTTGACTGGAGTCTGGGCCCAAAATAAATGTGGCTGCTAGAAAAGCCGTAGTTAGGGCAGAACTTAAGACAAACAAACAAAAAAAATTAGAGCCAAGAGGATGCAGCTTCATCTGGGATTATACTTACAGTGGCCCTTGGTTAAAAGGCCTATGGATCAGGGGTTTCTCTTTTAATTTTTTAAATTGACAAATAACAATGATATATATTTATGGTATACAATGTTTTGATATATGTACACATTGTGGAATGGCTCCATCTAGCTCATTAACATATGCATTACCTCACATACTTACCATTTTTTTGTGGTGAGAACACTTAAAATCTACTCTCAGCAATTTTCAAGTGTACAGTTCATTGTTATTTATTAACTATAGTCACCATGAGGTACAATAGATTTATGGAACTTATTCTTCCTCTATAAATGAAATATTTTGTCCTTTGACTAACATCTCCCCAATCCTCCTACCCCTCTGGATCAGGGTTTTCTAATTAAACAATGGGATGTATTTGGACAATCAGACCGGATGGGGAAAATATTTATTACAAGCCTTTTCTATGCAAGGCAATTAACCTTGACACAGAGATGGAAGCTATGACTTCAGGAGGCAGGAAGTTAGGTAATTTTTCCATACTCAGAGGACCTTTACATTAGCGGTTCCATTGCCTAGAAAGCATTTTCCCTGGTTGCTCTATTTTATTACTCAGGGATCAGTTCTCAAGTCACCTTCTTAGAGACCTTCCTGGCCCCACTCTCTAAAGGGACTCATTCACTTTCCTTTAACCCGCTAATTTTCTTTATAACCATCACTCACAGATATTTTCTTGATTGCTTATTTGTCTTTTATGTCTTTATTTTCTGTCCCTTCCTCAACTCACCAGAACTGCTATTGGGCTGCACTCTCCAATAGGGTAAATGACCACTAGGTATATGTGGTCACTCACCACCAAAAATGTGGAGAGTCAGAACTGAGATGAGCTGTTAAGCACAAAGCACACACCAGAATTTTGAAGACTTAGTACAAAAGAAGAATCTAAAACATTGCAATAATTTTTTGATTACACGTTGAAACAATTATTTTTAGATATGTTGGGTTGAAAGGGATGTAGTCTTAAAATTAATGTCATCTGTTTCTTTTTTCTTTTGTTAATGTGGCTACTTGAATATTTTAAATTACATACGTGGTTCACATCATATTTCTGTTGGCCAGGCCTGGCCTGGCACATAGCAGACACTCAATAAATATTTGTTGAATGAATAAATGAATTCTAACCACTGCTCTGAAGATTTCTTCTGTTGCCCATTGTGTTTCCTTTACAATGGGCTTTATTCAGTTTGAAAAGAAAAGTAAAAGGCTGGACTTTTTTTTTTTTACAGTAGCTTGGCAGTTATCAACAACAGCTCTGCCTATACCCCCCAAAACAAAGTCGTCAATCATTAGGGAAAACCCAGAACTGGAAACAGATTCCTATTAAAAAGGGAGGCTAACTACAGATTGCTTTCAGATTTAACTATAAGGAGTCAATGGAAATGACAGCGGAAGCTATAAAAAGACTCACATAAGATCCACAAGACAGTAGGGGCCATTTAAAAATAATTCTGTGGGTAACACACTCACTGAAAAGAAAGTCCTTATCTAGATGGGAAGGGAGAGCGAGCTGCCTTTTTACTGAATGCCTGACTTCAGCACACAAAGAAATGTCATTTCCTAAATTAAAAAGTAACACCACCCTAGGGAATACCCTGATTTCAACCTACCCACCCACAGTAACAGGTCATCAGCAATCAGAATCCTTCAGACCAGGATGAAGCTTGAACTTCCCTGCATGAATACACACAGAAAGGTTCCCGAACAAATTCTGAGCCCTAGGCCTTGACCTCTTTTGAGGATTTCTCCTCGGGAAACTGGCTTTAAACTCCAGGTACTTTCAGGAGTTAGGACTCCCAGAATAAATCCCAAATCTATTCCAAATGTCTATGTAAGTGGGGCTCGGGGGGAAGGTAGCTGGAAGGGAGAAGCCGGAAGGATGTCTTGAGGTTTTTTTTGCCCTTGCGTAAGAGGCACTGAGATTGTATGTTCTTTGGGGCTGGCTTGAAGGATATCCAACATTCTCTGACTTCCACACTGTTTTCTGATGGTGAAGGCAATTAACAAGCATAAAGGCAAGTCCCACAGGCATCAGTGTCTCCTAAACTTGCCTGATTACACATCCCCCGCGCCACCCACCTCCACTGAATTAGTCTCTAGTGGGAGAGGCTCAAAATACATTGTTTTAACAGGGACCCCAGACCCCATTTTTATGAATAGGCAAGTTTGGGAGGCTCCCAGCCACCCACTGAGGCGGGTACTATCATTAGCCCATTTAGCAGACACAAAATTGAGACGTGGTGGGGGTGGTTAAGAGGCTGGTCCACAGTCACGGTCACTCAGCTTATAGGGGCAGAGCTGACTGCCATCCAGACCCTGGGAGCCTGTCCCCTGGCACCTGGGCACGCGCCCTCTAGGGAACCCCCTTTTAGGGCTTGGCGCCCCCCTGCGTCCCACCCGGCGCCC